CTGTGCCTCCCTCACCCGGCCCGATGTCTGAGAAGAGGAAGATCAACAATAGACCAGCCTCCTTGTTGTCCACGTGATGCTGGTACGACGCGCCGTCCACGTGCCACTTGCCGGCAGCGCCCCACGGCGGCTCGGCCTGATCCGGGAACGTGATCATCCACCACCCGAGCCCGAAATTCTCCCATCGATCCTTGCCGCAGATCTGATGCATGGCGCGCTTCAGACGCGGAGTCACTACGTCACTCCACACAGGGTTGTCCTCCGCCGTGTACAATTCTGACAGAAAGCATTTAGAAATGAGCAACTCGCGCCCCGTATTTTATTCTTCTGAATTGCGATAGAGGACTGCGCTGTTACCTGGGATGCCGTGCCTCTCCACCCACGTAGACGGATCCTTGGTGATACCGTCCTGCTCTAGTCGCGTCCAAATCAAGTCGCGACACTTCTCAGCGGTGGACGACGAGAAAGCATCACGCAGCAACACGAAGCCATCGCGAGTGAACGAGTCAATAGCCTCTTGGTCGAGCGGGGCCGCTTCGCTGGAGACGCGATGCTTCTTGTCGATGGGCTTTGCTGGAGTCTCCGAGTCTTGTACGATCGATCGCTTCATTCTCACAATGCCATCTTGATATCCATTTCTAAAACCACATTGATTTCTAAACGACTTATACAGGGAATGAGTAAATAACTTCCGAGTAAAGTTTTATTACTTCGTAAATAAAACTTGGAATATTTTGATAACTTACGCAAAGGTAACTAATGAAAGTTACTACAGTGAACGACAGATTGGATTTCCCTCACCAAGAACTCAGCTCATTTGATGCAGATAGGCGCAGCGCCGCAAAATCTAAAGAATGCTTGTCCCCAGACATGTTTGAAGTTCAGAGTGTGAGTGGCTTTAAAACTCTTGCACTTCACAATCGGAAATCAATTAGTAATTCGTTTCGTGAAAATCTGGTTTCCATGCTGGGGTATTCTCTGACTTCTAGTGAATGAGCTTAGTGTTGGAGTTCAACATTTATCAGCTTGCTAGTCGCACCGTTATCGTGCTTGCATTCTTGAAGCAAAGCAAAATCCAACGTCCATTGATTTCCAGACCTGTAATGCAGTGGCCGCGGAGAACGTGTGCGGCACCATATTTGAGCGTACTAAAATCGGTGTGCTCATTGGGATCGTCGTTCACCCCTCCTGGTGAACCTACCAAGCAAAGGGGATAAACACTTCGTCTCAGCCACCCTGTCCAAGCTCTCGCCCACTTTACCAAGCGCCTGTCAGGAGCAGATCCGCTCAGATCCAGCA